GCGGCGGGGCGGCCCGCGCCCGCCGGCGCGGGCGAAGCTGGCGGCGGCCTGCGCCCGCGTACCCCCTGGCGGCGCTCCGCCCGCGGCGCCCAGCGCTCGGGCCTGGGGCCGCATGCTCCGGGGACGCGGCCAAACTCGCTGTAGCCGGCGCGGCGGCCAGCGGGCGGGCGGGCTGGCGGTGCGCGCACCTCCCGCTTGAGAAGCTCGAGCCGCCAGCTCGGGGCGTCCAGCGCGACGGTCTTGACTGCATACAGGCGTCCGTCCGCAGAGTGGCGACACAAGTACACCTCCCCGACAGAGCCGCGCCCGAGCAAGCGCACCGCGCGAAACGGCGACAGGTCGGGCAGCTGCGGCGCCCACGGCGCCGCGGCTGCGCTGCTGCCGGCGTCGTCAGCGTGGGTCCGCGCGAGCCATGGCCACAGGGGCATCGGGCATGACCCTGGAAGGCGGGGCCTTTCCTGTCGCTGGGCCTGGGCACGGTTTGGTCAGCCGCGGTGACGGCGGCGCCGCCTTGCCGCGGTCGCACACCCCCGGGCGGCCGCCCCGCCGCTCAGGCCAAAGCTTGCTGCAGGTGGCGAAGCAGCTATATGCGAGCTTGAAGCCCTGCAGTCCTCATACTGCTGGCAATCATTTGAGGCAGGATTGCGTAAGACCAAGGCTCTCGAGGGTTTCACGTCACCGAATGCTGCGGTGCTTTTCGTGGATCACATGAGCTTTCTTATGGTTTGCTCCAGAGCGGCACTTGCTTCGTGACCTGGCAACAATGTTGCATGAATAGCAGTCAGAGGAGTACCGTATGGTGCCTCAATAGTAAAATCGAATTCATGTGGAAAGGCTGTTCATAGCCATCACGTTCAGGACAGGCCTAGGTGCGGCGACCCCAGTTTTTCGCGCCGGAGCAGAGCACGAGCAGCAGGTGCCTGGTCGCCCCCACACCACCCGCAAACTGCTGCGGCAGGAGCGAGAGGCGGCCCTCACCAGCACAGCAGCAACAACACCCAAATCATATTGAATTGACGCCCCGCCCCGGCGCCTGGAGTCATGCCGCCGGCCGCCCAGCAGCTGGGCGGCGCGCTGCTGGAGCGCGTGCTCGCCACCCTCGATGCCCGCGCCCTCGCCGCAGCAGAGGCGGCCTGCAAGGAGTGGTGCGTGCGCAGTGCGATCTCAACAATCGCGCAGGCCGCAAGCCCTCCGCCCACGCCTGGCTGCTGCATGCTCCACTGAATTCTGCACAGCCCCCGTTGAGGCGGAGCACTCTGTTTGTGCTGTTGCCTGGGGCCTTCCGCCCAGCCGCCTGGCTTTCCATACCAAGATGCGCCCCCCAGCGGCAGCGGGCGCCATCTCCCCGACAGAGCGCGGCACCCTCGTCCCGCGCGCCGTGCCCGGGACCGCAGGCGCGGCGCCGTCCGGGCGGGCAGCCTGTGGCGGCGCTTCGCGCTCGCCGCGGCCGGAGGGAGCGGGGCCGGCGGCGCGGGCGGCGGCGGCGCCGCATCAGACCCTTGGAAGTCTCAATTTGTGGACAGGTCAGTGTCATGTGCCGGTACAGAGGTTTCAATTTGAGGCAACCGGTTGAGGTGACCATCATCATTGATTGTGGCGACACGATCAATAACAGGGCGACCAGAGTCTTGTACATGCGGTTGCGCCGCCCCCGCTCTCGCTCACGCGGGCGCCCGCCGACCCCCGCCGCACGACTCTCCCGCAGCCGCGCGGCGGCGCGCTTCGACGCCGGCCGCGTCCGCTCCGCCGCGCAGCTCTCGGGCCACACGGCCGCGGTGACGGCCATCAGATCCGACGGCGCAGATCTGGTGATCACGGCCTCGGCCGACGGCACCGCGCGCGCCTGGGATTTGAACGGCCCCGGCCGACAGCTGCACGCGCTGCGCCACGCGGCGCCCGTCGCGGCGGCGGCGGCGTTGTCTCCAGAGGTCGCGGTGACGGCGACGGCGGCGGCGGCGCACCTGTGGCGGCGCGGCGCGCGGGCGCGGTCGTTCCCTCTGCAAGCGCCGGTGAGCGGGCGGGGCCTCTCCTCTGGGCGGCGGTCCGGGCGGGCGCGGCGGCGGCCGGCGTTCTTTGGGACCACCGCCGCTGGCTAGGGGCGTCTCAGCACTTGTGGCTGCCGCTGCTGCTCGTTGGCAGCACCTGGGGACCTGTGCCACGGCTCTCCCCCTTGCCTCTCTGGTCGCCCCCTTGACACGCCGCCGACATGCAACCCCACCCCTCAAATCTCAATCATTGCTGCCCCCACCCGAAACACCTCAGCACACAAACGGCTCAATCAGCCAATTGGCCGTCGCCGGCACGCGCCTCGTCCTCGCCTGCAGCCGCGGCCGCGCGCTGCACGTCTATGACCTGTATTCGGGGGCTCTGAGGTTACTCATCAGATGGGGTGCCCCCGAATCTTCCGCCGGCGGCGCCGCGACGAGCCTGGCCGTGTTTGAGGAGGCGCCGTCCGGCCGCTGGGCCGCCGTCGTCGGCGCCGCGGGCGGCGCGGCCGCGTGCCTCTGCCTGGAGAGCGGGCGCCTGCTGTGGCAGCTGCACAGCAGCTGCGCGGCGGCGCTGGTCGCCCTCGGGCTTGCGGAGGGGCGCGGCGGCGCAGGCCGGCTCCTCTTCGCACTCGATACCGCGTCGCAGCTCCACGCATGGGCGGTGCCAGACGCGCAGGGCCTCGTACCGGCCGCACCCGGCGGCAGCGGCGGCGGCGGGCGCGCGGCCGCGCGCGCAGGCGCGGCTTGTCTGTTGGCCTCGTGCCGCCTCGGCGCGCGCGGCCTGGGGGCGCCGACCAGCCTCGCGGTCCCGGCGCGCGGGGCGCCGCTGCGCATGGTTGCGGGCGGCTGGGGCGGCGTGCTGGTGGTGGTTGGCTTCGCCTGCAGATCCCCAGAGCCTTCTTTCGGCGAGCTTCAGCCGCGGCGCCTTGGCGCGGCGAGGGACGCGGCAGCGGTGGCCGGGGCAGGCGGAGCAGGGGCGGGGGCGGAAGGGGCGGGCGCGCCGAGGGCGGCATTCCAGGTCCTGCGGACGATCGATCTGAGCCGGCTCCAGCCGCGGCGGCCGCGCGGCGTGGC